CTCCCATCGCCGCCGCGTCTATCCTGTTTCTATCTATAATACCAAGTCTATGACTTGGTACTGCTGGCTTTGATTAGGGTTAAGGTTGAACCACAACATTTGCGGGTTGGCGCACAAGAGATTAGGGCATGACAAGTCATAGACTTGGTATTAGAGATAGAAACAGGACAGATGCGGCGGCAATGGGAGCTAGTGGGCGGACAGTAGTTTCTATAAGAGACGTGGTCCATGTGGCAAAGGCATGACCATGACACTTACTCACAGGTTTGATTCTCTAATTAGTCACCCAGACGCAGGGTAGGGCCAATAACGCCTCAAGTTGGCACAGATGGGGTGGCGGGGTCGAGGGAAATATGTGAACCAGAGAGAGGGCTGACGGATCTTACGAGGCAAGAGAGAGACTGTGATAGGACCTAGGAAAGGAGGACTGCGTAACAATATGGTAGAATGTGATCAACATTCCCAACGCAAGGGTGAAGTTGGTGAGAACGACAGCGTGGAGTGCGGAGGGTTCTCATGAAAGCCGCTCAAAAGGGCACACCGTACCACATTTAATTAGGCAAGTAAAATATTGTGACAGTGAAGAAGTGATAGGAGGATATAGGAAATGTGAATAGGCTAGGACAGAAGGGGAGATACCACAATTGTTTAGCACACTTTTGGTCAAAGGATCGGCTTCACTTGTCTCTTTGACGAGTTGTTGTATGGTGCTAAGAATGGCGATACTCACTGACGATGTCGACGAAACGTCTGGGAATGTACCACGTATACAATGGACTCCGGACTAAGTGCGTTCATCTAAGTCTTCCTACCAATATGACCATGTTGCGAAAACAAGGTCAAACTACTTGTATAAAGTGTTGTACAAGAAATCATCAAACTGTGACCGTCGTACAGACTAATGAAATAAACAATACTTATTGGTTTTGGATCAAAATGGAGGAATTTCGATTTACATAGGTTGATGTCAGGCTCAAGGGAGGAAACAAAGATCTGCTTCCCATCCCCACGCCATGGTGGATATCACAAATTAGGGTCTGGCGAGAGACATCAAGAGGTTAGTGGAAAATTAGCCGGAGGGATCTGCTCAAATTACGTCACAAGTGAGGCGAGTTAGTGAAAAATGTGGGTGTGAGCAAAACGATCAAGTAGCAAAAATGCCGAGGGATACGGGTTGAGCAGATGGTTGGCCAAGCCCCTAGCCGGATGAGTCATCTGCTCAAGACCGAAAGACAAGGAGCGACAAGAAAAAGTCAAAGAGGAAAAGGAGAAGGAGGAGGAGGAGGGAGAGGGGGAGAGGAGAATAAAAGGGATTAGCGAGAGTAAGTGGAGAAAATACCGGTGAAGCGATAGGTGAATGTGAAACGATTGTAGCGGATGATGCTGATTCACACTGCCGCATATGATAAGAATGTGGCTGGGGGAGGGGGGAGGTGTAAGATAGGAGAAAAAATGCTTCCATATGCGTCCTGTCTGCTGCTGAGGTTATGAATAGTGAACGCATTAAAAAGTAGCTAATCGACCTCTCCAAAATAGATCCCATTTTGGCGTAGAAGTGGACGTTTGCTCCATTCACGTCTCCACTTTATGCACACTTTCCACTTTTTCATTGCCCCTCAGACGATACCCTTGTGAGTCACGGGTCCGAATCGTGTGCTCCTTGCAGAACGCGACTCGAACTCACGTCACAGCATCATCCCGCTTCTTTCATCAGCTCCAACCGTAGGCTTCAGTCGAGCCTACACAGCCGTCCATCTCCTGACGGCATGACGACTTCGCCGAACAGCAACAGCCTCAAGTTCTCCATTGCCGAGCTGATGCATTCAGCCAGCCAGGCCCAACGGGTCATCGCCCTGGGCCTCGAGAACGGCAGCAGCGCCTCTTGTCAAACCACAGCTCTATCGCCATGGCAACGGCAGATGCAGAGGCTGCAGGCTATTTCCAAACCTCAGAAGCAAGAGTTGGGCTTTGTTGGAAGTCATGCCGACAAGAGTCGGGAGCTGACGATGGAGGAGGAAGAAGAAGATGAAGAAGAGGAGGTAGAAAAAGAAGAAGAAGAAGAGGAGGAGGAGGAGGAGGAGGAGGAAGAAACAGAAGAGGA